TGCTCACGAACAACGTTAGAGCTCACAGAATTATTGTTGGAAGTATTATTCCTTTCAAAATGCAGAGCAGTTGGGTGCTTTCTTTTACACAAGTCACAATCCAAACGACTCCTACAGTCTTTGCTTGTGTGTCCATGCTTAAAGCAGCCAAAGCAAAGTCCCTTTTCCTTTAAGAACTGCATTTTGTCCTGCTGTGACTTTACCTTGAACCGTGAGCATTTGTCCAGAGTGTGATTACTGTAGTGACAGAATAGACATTGTGTCGTGTTTCTCTGAGAAGCTGTATTTTCTTTGCTTTCATCTTTATTTCCATCCTTTATTGTACTGACACTCGTTGCATAAGTTCCTCCTTTCACTTTTTGTCTTGTGTATGTTGAGGTGCTTGGTTTGCTTGCAGATATTGTTTCAATAACATTTCCAAACAATGGATCTGAATAAATTTTAACTTGTTTTTCAATAAAATTTACCAGATCAACAAATACGACTCTGGTTCCAGTTTGCTCCAATATATCACATGCCACATTCCTCCACTTTTCCCTGAGTTTATACGGCAGTTTCAAAACAATAGTCTTTAGATTGGCTGGCATGTCCAACTCCTTCATGTATTTGATCTGCTGAACCAGATTAGAGCATCCACGCAGAAACATGGAAAATGACTGAAGTGCATTGATATCCTCAGCTTTTATTGATGGCCAGTTATTTATTTTGTCCATATATGCTGAAGAGATTTTGTGTTCACTGCCAAAATGTTCAATGAGCAGTGCCTTTGCCTTTTCGAAACCAAGCTCGGAAGGGAGATGTTGACAACCTCTAACAATGTCTCTTGGCTGCCCCCTGGTGTACTGCTCCAAAAAGTACAGACAGTCACTAGTGTTAGTTGTTTTACTTTCAACACAATTTTCAAAGGCTCTCAAGAAGGACTTAAATTGTATTGGGTCACCCTCGAACACTGGCAGATTTCTCATTGGCAGAGCAGACGCTGAACTTTGTTGCACGAGTAATGCAGTGATGTCGTTTTGGCGCTGCATAATATTTAAAATGTTTGGAGATGTATGAGACGGGCTGAGCTCAAGACCATGTTGAAAGTCTTGTTCGTGTTCATTGTTGATTGGTTGCTGATTGATTTGTGGCTGTGGGATAGCTACATTTGGGTACTTTGATTTGACAACACCATCAGAAAAATGTAATGTATGACCTTTATTATTTATTGGCACGAACTGACCAGCATGTACATTTAGTTCAGTTGTCTTTGATATTTTTTTACCCAGATAAGAGTTCATTCCGTCAGATACATTTGAACCACGAATTGATGTTTTTGATCCACATTTTGAGATGGTTTCCAAAATCTCCAATTTTGCGTTTGCCACTTTCAGTTCAGTCTCCAATTCTAGTTGTTCCTTTTCTCTCCTTATTTCATCCTGCTTTGCACTTAATTCCAGCTTTAGTTGTTGTTCCTTCGCCTCCAGAAAGTGTCTTTGTTTTAACGCTGCCATACGCTCCCGTAGTGCTGCCGAATCCGTTTGTGCTTTTATTTTTGCAGAGGAAGTGGATGACGCTTTTGACAGTTTAGAGACGGCATTTGAGTGCGCTTTGCGACTGACATTTGACGCACTGTCCTCTGGCCCCAAATCCTCACATTTGTCTCGTTTTTCCACTTTATTTGCGGTTGGCAGCTTATATGAATGTTCGGTATTAGACAGCCAGCTATTTACATCCACAATGAAGTTGGAAAATGTCATTTCTTTAGCGTCAAAATATGTTATTTGCTTGTCTCTTTCTTCTGTTGGCAGATCCAGTGTCATAAATGATTCATGTTTGTTTCTTTGCTTCTTCAACAGATTTTATCATTTGATCCAAAATAGTTTTCACTGCATAAACATTGTCCGTGTCTTGCATTAAATTACAGACTTGGTTCATGTACTTTTTTGCTTGCTTGAAATACGTGGATCTTTTATCCTGGCACGTCTGCATAAAATACATGATTCCTTTAGTACTGTAGCTTATTCTTCTCTTTGTCGAAACCTGCGTATCACTCGCAGCCTTGTGTGAAATGTCCGACATTGTTCTTTAATGCAGTGTACGAGCAAAGTCACTTGTGCTTGATGCGACACGTACCGTGGTGACAGACAGCGCTCTGGCTTGCAGCGGTGGTCCGTGGATGTTGCGCGCTCCAGAGACGCGCGCTCTTGAGTGAGTCACCTGTGCAGGCTTTGGGCCCTCCAGCGACACCGCGTCCAATATGAAACAGATATCCAGTCTCCAAACAGCAAAATGTGGCTCCAGAGCTCCAATAGCGTCACCGTTATTGTAAGTGTTGTTATATAGGTTTCTTATGAAAGTTTATTTTGCTTTTCTATTTATTTGGTTTAGAATTGTTTTGTAAATTTGTAAATAGTAATATTTTTGTTTTCTCCAAAAGAAAGTATTTGTTATTACACTTTTATACATCGGTTTCATTTCGTAATTTTGTTCTCGCGAGAATTTGCGAGAACTGGGGTTTACAAGGGGCCCTCAGGTAGACAGGCAGACGCTCTCTCGTGCTCAAAGACATCAGAGCGAGAGCCACTTTCACAGTGAGAAAGCAACTGTATCAGGTATCTATTTGTACATGTACGATTTTATTGTGTGTTTACATTTGTGTTTTTAATTGTTTTATATGTTGTGTACAGCTGAAACGCACATATTGTTTTCAAGTTAAGTTAAAGACCTCTGACATGACAGGCGGCCACGAGGTAGCTAATTTTAAGTTTCGTTTTTGTAATGTAGACAAGAAGTTGTGTTTAATTGCATTTAATTGCATGTTACAGAATGGTTACATCAGTCCTGTTTAAAACTCAATATCAATAAAACTGTCTCAATGTTCTTTACAAGGTCCAACGTCAAAAATTCAACAGCAGATATCTATATGGCAGGTGAAAAGTTGCAAGTGGTGTCAGAATACAAATATCTTGGAATTACAATAGACTCAAACCTAACATTCAAAACCCAAATTAACAAAGTCTGCAATAAAGTCAAATTCAATATCTCCAACTTCCGGTTCATCAGGTCTTAACTCTCTCTGCAAGCAGCAAAAATGTTCATGTATTCCATGGTCCTATCGCACATAACCTACTGTTTAACAACTTGGTCTCAAGCAAATAAAACAACACTAAAGCCCTTAGAGTCACTTTACAAACGGACAATAAAAATTCTGGACAAAAAACCAATGAGGTATCATCACTGCAATATCCTTCAAAAGCACAAACTTTTAAGCTGGGAAAATCTCATTATCATACATAAAATAATCCACAACCAATCATCTCCCCCACTCAGTCAGTTTGTCAGCATCAGAAACCCCACATCTTTACAGCGGGTGACCAGAGGAGCAGCTCGAGGAGACTGCATAGTTCCATTTAGGAAAAGTGCCTTTAGTCAGAACACCTTTTCTGTAACTGCAGCCAAAGACTGGAACTCCATCCCAGCTAACATAAGAGATATGTCCACTTACATACTGTTTAAAAAACATTTAAAGAACTGGTTCATTACTCAACAGTCTTGCAGTCATTAACCCCTGTCTGTATTATGACTCTTTTATTATTTGCACTGTTTGTATTTGTATTTAACCTGTATAGTGTAGTGACTGTGTCCTACTTTGTATTTTATTGCACTGACCGTAATGTTTTATTGTTTTATTGTCTTAGGGAGACTTTTTACATCTGTCCAGGGACTACGGATGAAAAATAGCCTTTTGGCTAATTCCGGTGCATTTACAGAAATGTTGATTAATGTACACTGTCCCTGTCAAATAAATAAATAAATAAATAAATAAAATAAATATTTTATTTTGTCCTGTAGTTTTCACGGCATTGAAAGACACTTATGACACTTGTAAGGTCAATAAATGAGCCCGTACTCGAGAATCCGTGTGCAGCGTTGTCATTGAGGAGCTACAGTGAAAACTCGACCAGCCCAGCGCCGGTGAAAAGCTCGAGTCCAGACGAAAAGGCGGCGGCAGCAGCATTGGGCGCAATACCGAAGTACACCACAAGGCGGCGCCACCATACCAGCCCATCGCTCCCAAACACCAGACCTTCGTCAATTCAAGTTTTTATACTGAAGTATTGTAGACACTAAGAATAAGACTGTGCTTTAAGGAAATGAGAGTGTTTTAAGCCAAGTTAAACTCACTGAAGTTATTTCATAGCACTTTCGATTTTCTACAATACTTTTTGGTTATATTTTGGGTTTCTATTATTGAAGTTTGTGTGCATTTCAGTTTAAGTTAAATCTATTTAAAGTTCATTTAAGTTTTCCAAGTTAATGTAGCCTGTTTGTATTAAGTTCTTTACAATCCAGGTTAAAACAATTATTAGACCACACCAGTTGAAACCACAGATTTAAGGTGCATATTTACACTACAAAGCTATATAATAACAAATAATTTCCTGACTGTAAATATGACTGACCTGACTGAGAAAGGCTGTGCCGAGTCAACGGATCAAGCTGAAGCAAGTGTTCGTAAGAGCGAAAGAATAAGAACACTAACCGAAAAGGGGAAAGAGCTTCAAGAAGACAAATTAAAGGCTCTCAAGCGCAGATACAAAGTTGTCAATGAGAAATGGAGATATGAAGCAAGACTAAGCAAAGTAATGCTAACGGACACAGCAACTGACAGTGAATTAAGAGAGGTAATAGACAATGTGAATATGACCTGCCAAGATGTACAGGCTACACATGATGAGATACGTCAAATACAAGCACCAGATCCTGATATGAGATGCAAAGTTGATGCATGCACGTCTCTTTCAGAGTTCATTGTCAGAAGGGCCAAAGGATCACTTGAAGGACACACTGAAGAGGACAAGGAGCCATGGCCAGATGTTGGGTCATGCTTGGAATCTAGAGGATCAAAGTCAAGGTCTCAAAAGTCAAACTCCAACTCTATTCTGTCTAATACACAGTCAGTCAAAAGGGTAGAAGCAGCAGCTGATGCTGCAGCATCTCAAGAGGTATTAGCTGTTATGGAGGAACAGGAAAGGCAAGCAAATGAACTAAGGAAACTAGAGGTTGAAACCAAGCAGAGCGAACTGGAAAACTTGGTAAGACAACAAGCCATGGAAGAGCAGCGCAGGAAAATTGACCGTTTGGAAGAGGTCAAAAAGCTGAACGCTGCCAAAGCCAGAGTAAAAGTCTACCAAGAGGCTGAACACTACTCTGGAAGTCAAAGTTTGTCAAGCAAGCATAGAGCGGTGAGTGATGCCCCGTTTGCACCACTCATACATTCACAAGCTCCAGAAACAACTCAAGTTTTGAATGCTTCAACAGCTGCATTTACTCCACACATTGATACAGCTACCAAAAGTCAAGCACTCAAAGCGTCAAGTTTACCTTACATTCCTCAAGCAAAGCCAGTCTCAACAGCCACTACTCAACTCCAGCAGAACTCTGATTTGGTGAGAATATTAGCAGAAGCAATAAGTGCTAATCGTCTTCCAACTCCAGAACCCGTACAGTTCACTGGCGATCCTTTACAGTTCAAAGACTGGCAGTTGTCATTTGAAACTTTGATTGAAAGGAAAAACATTCCCAAAAATGAGAGACTTTACTATCTCAGAAAGTACCTTGGTGGATCTGCAAAAAAGGCAGTGGAAGGATTTCTCCTTATAGGAACCAATAAAGCATACGATTCGGCTTGGCAGTTGTTGGAAAAACGGTTTGGAGATCCCTTCACCATAGGAAAATGCTTCAGAGATAAACTTCACAGCTGGCCAAAAATAAGCTACAAAGATGGATCTGAGTTGAGAGAATTTGCAGACTTCCTCAGAAGTTGTGAAGCCGCTATGCCGCATATCAGAACACTGGAAGTTCTCAATGATTGCATGGAAAATCAAAGGATTTTGTTAAAGTTACCAGATTGGCTAGTATCTAGATGGAACCGCATGGCTATGGAACAGAGAAACGCATATGGAAACTATCCATTGTTTCATACATTTGTTGAATTTGTGTCCACCGAAGCAGACTTAGCGTGCGACCCCATAACTTCCATACAAGCACTGAAAGGTTTGGAATCAGATAAACCCAAACACTCAAGACACCAATTGTTTCAAGCTAAGGCTCTAACAACGAACTCCGTTAACTTCAGTCATAATGCTCCAACATGCATATTTTGCAAAAGAACTGGTCACACTCTCGATAAATGTCACAAGTTTTCCGAAAAGCTAGTTCAAGATCGTGTCAAGTTTTGTTCAAACAGAAAAGCTCTGTTTCGGATGCTTAAGGACAGGACATCACTCAAAGAAGTGCGAAAAGAGAAGCACATGTGATAAGTGTCAAAGAAAACATCCTACATGCTTGCATGATGACAAGTTCATGGAACGTAAAAGGACTGCTTTTGTGAAAAGTAATAATGACTCTCAAGATACAACAGACACCAAAGAAAGGGTGCTCCCTCAAGAGAAGCCCGACTTGCAAGACAAAGACAAAGCTGCAACAGCAACATCAAATAGTGTTTCTCAGGAAAGCTGTAACACTTTGACATCGTCTATATTGCCAGTCTGGGTCTCATCTATCAAGAATCCTGAGCATGAAGTACTGGTGTACGCACTTCTCGACTCACAAAGTGATATATCTTTCATACTGGATGATGTAGCTCAAGAGCTTGATGCAGATAAAAGTACGGCTAGTTTAAGACTATCAACAATGTCTGCCAAGTTAACAGTGATACCATGTGAGAAACTGTTAAACCTTCAAGTGAGAGGATATCACAACAAGCAGAAAATTGCACTGCCCGCAGTTTTTACAAGAGAGTTCATACCAGCAAACAAGTCGCACATTCCAACGTCAGAAACGGCCCTGAAATGGCCTCATCTCGAAAGGTTGGCAGATAAGTTGCCTCCTCTGCTTGAATGTGAAGTTGGTTTACTCATTGGGTATAACTGCCAACAAGCCCTTCTACCAAGAGAAGTCCTAGCTGGTACAGAAAACCAACCTTACGCACAACTCACAGATCTTGGCTGGAGCATTGTCGGTTGTTCCTTTCAAGTTTGCGATCAAAGTGATGCAATCGGCACCAGTCACAGAGTCATTGTGCGTGAAGTAACCCCTGCAGTGCAAAAGTCAGTTGAGCTAAAGCAAGAAGTGCACTTTGTATGCAAAACTTGGGTTAAAGAAGTCACTCCACAGGATGTAGTAAAGGCTCTAGAAGTTGATTTTGCCGAACGAGCAACAGATGACTATCCAGTCTCACAGGAAGACATTCTGTTCTTGTCAAAGGTAAACAAAGGCATAAGGCACAAGGAAGATGGTCACTACGAACTCCCACTTCCATTCAAAACAGACAACCCAATCCTGCCAAATAACAAACTATATGCAGAACGCAGACTGTCTTCATTGGAACGTCGTCTCAGAAAAGATGAGAGATACTATAACGATTACATCAAGTTCATGAATGACATAATAAGTCGTGGAGATGCCGAGAAGGTCCCAATACAAGAGCTCGAAAACAAGACCGCTTGGTACATCCCACACCACGGGGTATACCACCCTCACAAGCCTGAGAAAATCCGTGTAGTCTTTGACTGTTCAGCCCGCTTTCAAGACACATCTCTCAACGATCACCTTCTGACTGGACCAGATCTCACGAACGCACTGGTTGGAGTGTTATGCCGATTCAGAAAGGGTCCAATAGCCATAATGTGTGATGTTGAGCGGATGTTCCATCAATTCCATGTCATTAAGGAACATCAAGACTACCTAAGGTTTCTCTGGTGGGACGAAGGCAACTTGAGCTCCAATCCATCAGTGTATAGAATGAAAGTGCACCTATTCGGGGCAGCTTCATCCCCCGGATGCTGCAACTTCGGACTAAAGCATATTGCTGCACAAGGCCAAGAGAAGTTCAGCAAAGAGACCATCAAGTTCATCCAAAGAGGATTTTACGTTGACGACGGTTTGGCTAGCGTTACTTCAACTGCTGAAGCCATACAGTTAGTTGAAGAGTCAAGAGCTCTTTGTAAATCTGGCAATCTACGCTTGCATAAGTTTGTGTCCAACAATAAAGAAGTGCTTGCAGCAATACCACAAGCAGAACAAGCTCAAGCAAAGGATCAAGACATGGCTCTCGGAGAGTCTCATATTGAACGTGCACTGGGAGTACAATGGTGTATTGAGGCAGATGAGTTTCAATTCCGAGTCTTAGTCAAAGATAACCCGCTTACAAGGAGAGGGGTGCTCTCAACAGTTGCCTCGGTCTTTGACCCCCTTGGGTTTGTTGCTCCTTTTATCTTGATCGGAAAACAAATACTCCAAACATTGTGCAAAGATAAAGTCAATTGGGACGACAATCTCCCTGAGCACATCTTACCACAATGGGAATCATGGCTCAGAGACCTACCCAAACTAGCAGCTCTAAAAATCCCACGTAACTACTCAAAGGACATCAACATTGCACATTACGAACTGCACAACTTCTCAGATGCAAGTCTGAACGGCTATGGTGCATGTTCATATCTAAGAGCAATAACCAAAGAAGGACAAATCAACTGCTCACTTGTAATGGGTAAAGCAAGAGTTACCCCCACTAAACAAACAACTATTCCAAGGCTTGAACTGTCATCCGCCGTGACTTCAGTTCGTAATGCAGATGTGATCAAGCAGGAACTCGAAATCGACAATCTCAAAGAGTTTTACTGGACAGATTCACAAGTCGTTCTAGGCTACATAAGCAATGATGCCAAAAGATTCCACACATTTGTTGCAAATCGAATTCAAAGAATAAGACAAAGTACAAGTCCCGATCAATGGCAACATGTCATCTCTGAAAATAACCCGGCCGATCATGCCTCAGGAGGCTTAAATGCAACTCAGCTCAAAGACTCAAACTGGTTACAAGGTCCAGCGTTTCTTTGGCAACAAGATCTTCCTGTTAAAAAGGAAACGGTGGGAGAAATACTGGAGGAAGATCCAGAACTTCGCAAGGGTCATACACATACCATTCAGTCAAAGGAAACAAATGCTTTGCTGGATCGTCTAAAGAAGTTTTCACATTGGTCAAGAGCAGTAGGAGCCATTGCACGACTCAAAAGATGTATTAAAGAGTTCAAAGGTATTCAACAAAGAACAAACAAACTTACCAACCTCGAAGAAAGAAGGGAAACGGAAATCTTCATCATCAAAGAAGCACAAAAAGAAGCTTTTGCAGAAGAAATCCAAAGGATAACATCGCAAAGAGAAAGTACTCTGCATAAGCACAACAAACTAAGACAATTGAACGCTTTCCTGGACAAAGCAGAAGTTCTCAGGGTGGGAGGACGGCTTTCCCAGTCAGCCTTACATCATGAAGTCAAACACCCCGCAATTCTTCCCAAGGAATCTCACGTGTCATCTTTACTCGTCAAACACTACCATGAGCGTGTGCATCACCAAGGAAGAGGCATGACTATGAACGAATTGCGAGCAAATGGAATATGGATTCTTGGCTGTGGAAATGTTGTATCTTCACATATCTATTACTGTGTAAAGTGTAGAAGATACAGAAGACCTACAGATGTCCAACAGATGGCAGACTTGCCAGGAGTAAGAACAGAAACAGCTCCCCCATTTACCTACTGTGGCGTTGACTGTTTCGGTCCTTTCATAGTAAAGGAAGGAAGAAAAGAAATCAAAAGATATGGACTATTGTTCACATGCTTATGTTCACGAGCAGTGCACATTGAAACCCTCGACGACCTAACAACCGATGCCTTCATTAACGCACTTAGAACACTCATAGCAATAAGAGGCCCTGTCCGACAAATCAGATGCGACCAAGGGACAAACTTCATGGGTGCCAGAAGAGAGTTTGCAGAGTTGATGAAAGGAATGGATCAAGAACGCCAAAGAGCAATCGGTTGCAAATTTGTAATGAATGTCCCAGCAGCTAGCCACATGGGAGGCGTGTGGGAACGTCAAATTCGAACTGTAAGAAGCATATTTACAGCAATGCTAGACAACTCATCAAACAGACTGGACACTACAAGCTTAAGAACGTTTCTTTATGAAACCATGGCAATCATCAACAGTAGACCATTAAGCATTGAACATCTTAATGACCCCACTGGTCCAGAACCACTTACGCCAAATCACATACTAACGATGAAGTCATCAGTTATTCTTCCTCCGCCAGGACAGTTCTCCAAGGAAGATTTGTACTTGAACAAAAGATGGAAAAGAGTACAGTTCCTCGCAAATGAGTTTTGGCAGAGATGGAAGC